CAAATCATAAAATTAGATTCTAAGCAAAGGAAAAATATAAAATTGGCGGTGGCGGGAGTAAAACTGTTCCCCGGCGGCCGACCAAAAGAAAATAACATGATATATTTTTAAGGAAAAATTACTCTCATGCTACATAAGATAAGTTTTTTCTCCTACACATTCTTCGATAATTGTGTCACCTTTTTTTTTCTTTTTCAGGTGGTGGAGCCCACAAATTTGTCTCTATGACATGAGATAACTTATCTCCTTTAATATAAGATTAATAAAATCCATATTGTTGTTATTATTATTATTACACTCCAACTTATTTAAATGTCTATTAGCTTTTTTTAAAATCAAATTATCAGTCTATTAAAATATATTTTATAAAATTAGATAATATTTTGAAAAGGTAAGTAATTTTTTTGGGTATAAATTATTCGTCATCTGATCACCAATCAGCATCGATTAATCAAGATTCGAGTCGGGTAAGATTATAAGGACAACAAAATTCTTCTTATTAAGTTTTGACATAATTGGGTACCCAAGACTCAAACATTAGACAACTAATTAAACTGAAATAAGATCCTGCCAATTGATTCCCGTACTTGGTAATTTTGTAAAATGTTTATGAGTGGTTATATATATATATATACAAAATCTACTTTCTTTTTGATAGACATGGTTACCTGTAAATATAAATTAGCAATCTCACCCAATTAATGAAATAATTATTTTAACAGTGGGTAAGGTGGTGGAGAAAGAATTATTTTTTTGTCTTAAAGCATATAGGAATTTTTTGAGAAAATTCCTATATGCTTTTTTGTTTATCCAAAAGAAAAAAACATATAGGAATTTCCATAAAAAATATTGGGTGCTGGATGGAAACTCAGCAATGTGCGTCAAGCCTACTAAGTATTAATTGAGACAGACGCATGTAGGGAGTGTTTCGTAAGGGGATGTTTTTTAGATTCTCGAAAAATTGATATTGGGAATCCTATTTATTCACATTTGGTATAAGGATTGCAAATTTTTTTCCAAAAAAATCAGATTTCTGGAATTCATTTTTATGAAGAAAAATACCAACTCAAAATACTACCAAGTGGGTGGTATTTTGCGAATCCCATTCTATGGGAAAATGAAACACAATTTTCCTGTATTTTCGATTTACCTCTGATTTTCCTCTCATCATCTTTTGCCCTTTCTTCTCCGCAACTATCACGCCCTGCTGGAGCTCCCTCATTGTCGCACATCTAACCTTGGTATCTCTATGAAAAATGTTTGGTTTAGCCTCTTCATGAAGAAACCTATTATAGACCACTTAAGTGGTTCCCACTTCTTATCCTCACTATGTAGAGCATCTCACTCCATCACTCTCCCATAACTTCTTTCTACTACAATTAACCACCCATTAGGTATTGTATTATACCATTAAGTGACCTGCAAACTATCCACTAGCCTTGTCTAGAAGCTCTTCCCCTCCCTCACATCACCCTGTTTTGAGAACGAAATTCGTTACGTGGTGTCACCCGCCTCCAGGATGGTGGAAGCTGAATGTGGATGGATCGGTGAAGAAGAACCTGAGAGAGGCTGCGTGTGGTGGCTTAATCAGAACAGAGCATGGGGAATGGGTCACTGGATTCTCGTATAGAATTGGCAGTTGCTCCCCTCTCAAGGCTGAGCTATGGGCCATTCTAAAGGGGCTGCATATCGCTTGGGATGGAGGAGCGCAACACCTCATTGTAGAAAGCGATTCCGCAATAGCTGTGTTGCGAGGGTGAAGTAGTCCAAACTCACTTAGTGAACAGTATCAGAGATTGGAGAAAGAAAAACTGGAATGTGAGGCTGGAGAAGATCAACAGGAGGAGGAACAGTTGCGCGGACTGGCTTGCAAAGGTAACAATCACCAAGGAGGAAAATTTACGTGTTTATCATGAACCCCCTATGGGGATGAGGCTGTTACTGGCCTCTGAGAATAGAATAGCTGCTAGTTTTGTTTCTTGGGGCTTTGCCCCTCCCTGTACTAAAAAAAAAAATGATTATAATTTATTAAGTTATACTAATTAATTAATTATTAATTTTGAATAATTTATTATCATTAAATTAATAAAATTCAATGATTAAAATTTAATTGCAAAAGATTATAAGAAAAAAATTATAAATGTAATCTCCCGTATAAAAGAAATCAGAAAATGGGAATATGAGTTGTGGAATAATGGCCCACATGGATCGTCTTCCAGCAGGGCCCACGACGACTCAAATGGGGCGCATAATTTGCCAAAATTATAAAATAAATTAGGGAAAAATGTGTATTATTTTAAAAGATGTAAAGTTGTGTCATTTTAAGTGAGAGAAATAGATAGATCATGGAGGAGTAAGAGTGGACAAAAAAATATAAAAGTGTGGATCTCACTTTTTTGTGAGAGTAAAAAAATATAAGTTGTATCATTTAAAAGGATAAACAATTCTTCCAATAATATACCAGTACATAACGGAGAACAACCCGTAATCATGTAATAAACTAATAATAGCTAGGGTTGACTTTGTCAACTCCGTCTCATGATCACTTACCTTTTTACCTTTGTTGTCACTTTTTTCCCTCCATTTTCACCAAAATGAGAGTAAGAATGGAAAATAAAAGAAAAAGAAAGAGAAGATATCAAAGGATAGTTACTCCTTATTCAATTGAATGTTTAGATGAAGAAAGGATGGAGTTAATTTTCTATTTTAGAATTGAAAGTTAAAATAAGAAAAAAGAAATTTATTTTTCTCTTATTTAATTCAAATAAATCTTTTCTCTCAATACGAAATTAAGGGGAACACTTCCCCCACATTAAAAGATTTAAAAAAAAATCTTGATCACTTTTTTCTATTTTTCTTTTCTTTTCTCATTTAAGTATAGCATAACTGTATAACTTGTATCATTAAACAAAGTTAAAATGATTATTAAATGCGTTGTTATTTATAAAACATAAATTGTATGATTAACATAAATAAATGTATTGACAACATAAGTCATTCATACAACTTATTTAATAAGAAATTGTTTAAAAAGTTTAAATAAAAATCATTTGTTATGCATAAATAACGTACTCTACCAACAGTTCAACACATGTATTAAGCATAAAGAACTTATTTTCATGTACTAGAAAAATAATTGAAACGAAAAATTTCAATGTGCCAATGAGTTGTGTACGAGCATTAGGTACTTAGTCAATCAGGTAGCATTTTCATTTTCCATGGGAATCAAATCCTTTGAATGGGAACAATAACAATAGAAATCTCACCTATCAATATCATTAGTAATAGTAACTTAAGACAAGACATCCCAACTTAAGAACCGATATTGTCTGGCGCATAATCATTTCTGTATAGTGTAAACCCAGACAAGATTGTGCCAAAGCCACAGAATGAAAGACAATGTGTCATCTCAAATACTTGTCTTTGCACTGGGATTGTAATTTCAACTAACTGTTCATCAACAGTTTCAAAAGTGCAAGTAGGAATACCATGTACGTAGATTTGCAACTAAATAGTAATGCAAATCGTAACTAACTTGGTCACATTGAAATCTTAGCCTAATTCCAGGCACGGTGTACTTTGTTTTTGGTTCTAGAATGAAACTCAGCTAAACAGAAGATAGGATATCAGTAAAGAGGCAAAGATATGTCTACCAAAATGAAACCCAAAGTTCTTGCATTGCCACAGTTTATGCTTCAACTAACCATAGCGGTTATTGCATTGCCACTCTCAGTCATTTAACAGTATCATTTAAACATATACTTAAGACTACTGTTTGTCTTCGTAAGAACACCAAGAAGATCCCACTAAAATTTAATGGTATGGAAATGAAAATGTGTTTGGATTATGATCATTTGTTTTTCTTAAGAACATAGCAGTGTCATGCCATAAAAAGAGGATTAGATCCCGAGGTAATAAAACAGAGTTCTTAGAACAACCGGTTTAATGTGCCCTCAGCCCAGTGAATGAAAGAATACACCAAAAGAAAAAAAGAAAAAGAAAAGATAGCCTGTCACTGGCAGTAAAAACTAAAAACAAAGAATCTACCGCTATTTCAGACAAGACAAGTTCTATTTCTACATTCTGCAGATAAAAAAACATCAAATTCAACTAAAGGAAATGAGTGGATTAAAAGAAAAAGGAAATAGAAAAAACTCGTTCAAATTTTAACCTGTCACACTTGGTCACATGAGAATGATGATAATGTTATAATGGCAAATGGTTTGACTTATCAGTTGTCGCCAAACCAATGTATAGAAAGAAAGATGATTCGGTTTCCAAAAAAAAGAAAAAGAAAGATGATTCAGTCTTGGGATTTAGAAACAAATTCAACTAAACATCTAAAAGTAGGCCAAATATAGTTTCTCCCACTTGTGTCAACCTAGTTTGGACAACCTGCCCCAGGCCCCACTGAGCTTGATCCTTTTGACTTCCACTTGTCTGACCTCAACCACTCCTAAAATAGCCCGTGAACAATATAAAAAGGCAAATCAAGGTGGATAATAGGCAGTTTTATCCTTGTATTTTTTTGCAATAAAATTGTTTTCCAAACTCAAACCAGTAATCTTTCAATTACAAGGATAATCTTACCGCTATTGCAAGGCTCGTTCTCGTGACCAATATATCTTGCCAAAATCCGGATTGAGAACAATTGTAGGATTCCTAGTTCCCAATCATTTTCTGGAAATTTATAGATTCTAGCTATTTACCCCCACTAAAAATGCTAGTTGCATGTTCCCATGTCTTACATCTCTCCCATATGGAAGTGTGTACGAGAAATAGAATGTAAATGTGTAGAAAATGAAGTGGGACCAACAGTAATCAGACAGTGAAAGTTATGCAGATGTGAGATAAAATGGGTGTAAGTGTGTGTCCGTTGCAGTATTCTTAACTCCTCCGTAGTTCAATTCACTGCAAGGGAATGAGTCCATATTCCGGGTGAAAGCACCCTCCAAAGATTTAAGCAGTTCAACATATCATGTTGAAGAGAAGAGACGGGGGAGCAACATTAAGAAAATGCCGTAAGAGGACCCTGAATACTAGTAAATTCTCCACTATATTAAAGGCGGTCAATCAACAAAGACATCGTTCCTTTCTGTCTTCAAGTTACCTAATCATGAATTTCTGCAACACCAAGGGTTCCACAAGTCAACAAACTGAAGTTCACTTCAATCGTTTTCTATGTTCCCTTCACAAATAAGCCTAGATATCCCATTCAATGATTATCTACTACCATTGACAATCAATATCCAATACATACATATCAACCACTCCCACGCTAAAAATGTTCTTGAATAAACCTTTCTGCATAAGTTGGGTACGTATATCTAATGTATTCCCGAAGGCACTTCCGATAGGAGAAGTCGATCCAGCCACCATCAGTTCTTGCAACAAAAAGACACCTTGAGTTTCCAAATTGGGGATGACGATCAACCTACAAAAAAATAAAGTTACAAAGCCTGCACTTACTGCCCATTTTGGGAAAGAAGGGGTCATTTACAAGAAAATAATAATAGCTGAAGTTCAACAGTCTTAGTGCCAGTCAGGGTAACGTTTTCCAGTGAATGCATTTGAAAGACAAGAAGCTTAAGATTTTTTATTTTTATTTTTTAAATAAAAAGGTGAATGACAGGTCACCAAGAACATCCAATTGGATTATCAGCCATAGCTACAACAATGGAAAAGAAGGACGGGAAAAATGTTCTGCATCACTGAAAATTAAAACAAGAATATTCACATAAAAAATGAAGGGTAAGTGACATTTAATTCTGAAGGGTATTGGTTACGGTCCAACCAAATAAACCAGTAATTAATAATATGTAATAGGGAAAACTAGATCTGAATATTCCATTGGTTCAACCTTCATTTAAGATAATACATCTCAGAAACAGAGACGATTCCAAAAGAAAGGAAATTACACAAGTTCACAAAGAAGAAAAGACTAAGCAGAAACGAAAAGATAATTGTGAGACAATTGTAGAGGTCCCACACTCTCCCAAAGACTCCACACTCCAATCTCCCCTTTTTCCTTCTTCCTCCCACTAGATATAACCAACTTCAAGCCACCTCACACCCCATTCTGTTACGGGGTACTTTGGGAATTCTCCTTTGTCTCATTTGGGCCCTGTTGAGTCTGGTTCCATATTTGCCTAGCCTTATCCCTCCTATACGTCTTGGACTGAATTGCATCAATACTCCCCACCATTTGGAGAACCTTGTCCTCAAGGTTGAAATAAGGGAACTGCTTATTGATGACCTCAAACTCCTCCCACGAATTTTCAAAGGCAGGCAGATAACCATTTGATCAGCACTTGTACTGTGTTCTGAAGGAAACATCTCACATCAACCAAAGCTTCTGGTGCAACTACAAGTTCCCAATTCTCGCTTAATACAGGAGGTAGGGGCTGGACCGTTTTGCTACTTTGATTGCTTTTTTAAGAAGGCTAACATGAAACACTGGATGAACTTTGCAACTGGGTGGCAAGTGCAAACGGTAAGCCGTTTCTCCAATAGGTTCCAGCAATTGATATGGCCCATAGAAGCGTGGGCTAAGCTTCTCATTGATGCGTCTGGCAATGGTTTTAAGGCGATATGGCTGTAATTTAAGGTATACCTAATCTCCCACTGTGAACTGGACATCCCTACGGTGTTGGTCTGCAAAGTGTTTCATCCAATCTTGAGCTTTGAGTAAATGATGTTGTAACTCTTGTAAAATAACATCCCTCTCTGCTAGGGACTGTGAGACAGCATCAACAGTAGCCATAAATGTGCCACACTTGAATAACGTAGGGGGATCTCTGCCATATAAAGCACGAAAGGGGATCATACCTATAACATCCTTGAATGTAATGTTATACCAAAACTCAGCCCAAGGAACCCATTGAGGCCAACATTTGGGTTTAGTGCAGCAAAAACAACATAAGTAAGCCTCAAGACAACGGTTAACGATCTCTGTTTGCCCGTTGGTTTGCGGATGATACGCGGTGCTATAGTGTAACTTCGTGTCTGCACTTTTGAAGATTTCTGTCCAAAAGTTGCTCAGGAACATTCTATCTCTGTCTAAGACAATAGTGACTGGGAACCCATGTAGTCTAACAGCTTCCTTTATGAATAACTCAGCAACATCTTTTGCGGTATAAAGGTGTTTAAGTGGAATAAAGTGAGAATATTTGGCAAAACGGTCAACTACCACCAGTATGGTGTCAACCCCCATAGATTTAGGGAGGCCACCAATGAAATCTAGAGAGATGTCCTCCCAAACCTGAGTATGGATGGGAAGTGGTTGTAGCAATCTAGCTGGGTTCATATTTTGTGACTTACATTGTTGACAAATTGCACACAATTTAAGGCTTCGTTGGTCTGTTTTAATAATGAAATGACAGCCCATGAGGTAGTGTCTCCATTTTCTCACTGCAAAAACTATGGCCATTAACTCTTTTACATACACAGACTTAGCTAGAGCCCGATTGGAAAATCCTTGACTCATAAAAGCAATGGGTTATCTTGGGTCAGGACAACTCCAATCCCCTTTCCAGATGCGTCAGTTACCATGGTAAACGGCTTGCTGAAATTTGGTAGGGCCAACACTGGGACTGAACTCATTATTAACTTCAATTGCTGAAAGCTATCTTCAGCCTCCTTATTCCACTTGAACCCATCTTTTTTCAGTAATTCAGTAAGGGGCTTTGCTATCTTTCCATAATCTTTTACGAACTTTCTATAATAGCCAGTCAACCCGAGGAAACCCCCAAGTCCTTTGACATTCGTGGGATTGGGCCAAGAAACCATAGCCTTAATTTTTTCTGGATCAGCTTTAACTCCCTCAGCAGATACGCAATACCCCAAATACTCAATGTGAGTTTTGCCAAAGCTGCATTTTTTTTTATTAGCCACTAATTGGTGCTGCCTCAATATCTAAAAAACAGCCCTTAGATGGCCAATATGCTCTCCTTTGTTGCGGTTGTAAACTAATATATCATAAAAAAAAACCAGAGCAAACTTCCTTATGAAAGGTCTAAGGATTTAGTTCATAAGTTCCTGGAAGGTTGATGGGGCATTGGTCAGCCCAAAGGGCATCACTATATACTCGTAATGCCTTTCATTCGTTCGGAACGCTGTTTTGGGACTCTTCCCTCATCCTGATTTGGTGATAACCTGCTTTCAAATCCAGTTTGGAATAAATCTGATATTCCCCTAACTCATCCAGGAGTTCATCTACCAAAGGCATTGGGAATTTATCAGGAACGGTAATTTTATTTAGCACCTTGTAATCAACACAGACGCGCCAGATCCCATCTTTTAACTAAAATGACTGGACTCGAGTAAGCGCTGGTACTATGATGGATCATGCCATTGCCAAAAAGCTCAGCCACTAAAGTTTCAGTCTCAGTTTTCTGGTAATGAGGGTACCTGAATGGCGAATGTTTGGCACTTGGCTCCCTGGTTTGAGATGGATGACATGATCAATAGCACGCGTTGGTGGTAACTCCCTAGGTTCCTTAAAGATATCGCCAAATTCTGACAAGAGCTAGTCCATCTCCGTCCACTGCTCCATATCCTCTTGGGCCTCTCCTTCTGCTGATTCCACATAAAATCCTTGGCCCTGGTTCCTCAGTGCCTTAGAAATAGACTTATATGAAGCTTCAGACCTGGATAAGGAAGGATCTCCCTTAATCATTGTTTCCTTCCCTCTCTCCCCGTATCTAAGGGTCATGTCCTTAAAGTTTGCTTTGATTTCCCCCAGTTGAGTGAGCCATTCCAAGCCGAGGACGACATCTGCACTGCCCAATTCGAATAGATACAGATCTTGTTTGATCTGAGTTCCCTGAATGCTTATATCCACTCATCTACATACCCCCTTGCATCCAAATTTATACCCGTTCCCAATTTCCACCTGATAAGAAGGGGTGTCAAATATTTTCAACCCTAGTTCCTCCACCACCTCTTTCTTTACGAAGTTACTCGACGCCTCACAATCAACCATAACCACCACATTCTGACCCTTGATTTCCCCCCATACCTTTAAGGTTTGGCTTGAAGAGAGCCCTAGCAAACTTTGTAGGGAGAGTTGTAACTGTTTGTCCGTCTCGTCCGCCTCTACAACCAGTGTTACCATCCCTTCTTCTCCGTTCCCCTCACCATCCTCCACGTCGTCGTCTTCCACAAGCAGCAAAAGCAGTTGACGAACCTGGCACCTGTAATTTGGGTGCCAGCGCTCGTCACACTTAAAGCATAGCCCCCTTTGCTGTCGATCTCACCATTCCGCCTGCGATAATCGTCGCATCTGACTGCCATCGTTTTCTCCGGTGCGATTTTCGATGGTGTGGGTCGCGGTTTTCGCCAACCCTCCTTTGTTAGGGTTCTCCATATGTCCAGTACGTGAGTTTGGTTGCCCCACGCTTGAGTTGCTAGACCCCGTAAATGATGAAGTTTGAGTAGGTCTGTTACCATTTCCTGGGCCTATACTAGAGGTAGCCCATGCTTTATTTTTAGTTGGGCCTGATCCTCTTTGCTGGCCCACGTGCGCACGGTTCAGCCCTTGTGCCCAGTTCCTTCCCAGTGGACCCAATCCCTCATCTTTCCACGCTACATTCCTTTGTTCTACCTTAATTAACAACTTCATCATGTTCGTCAAACAAAGCGCCGGTGACATAAGCAGCTCCTCTCTGATGCTATTGCGTACTCCATTTAACCACGCTCCTTTGAGTAGATGTCCGTCTTCGAAACGAAAAGCACCCACCATCTTCTCAAATTGAGCACGAAATTCCATCACACTCTCGTTCTGTTTAAGCGTATATAACGCTCTGCAGGGATTATCCAGGGCTTCCGATTGGAAGCGACTGAGCAGCTCCCGCCGGAAAACTCCCCAGTTAACGTTAGGGTGGCTCGCCTCCCACCAATGGAGCGCCTCCCCTTCCAAGACGACCAACACTGTGGCTACCTTCTCTGCCTCGGTTACACCATTCACTGCGAAGTAACATTCCACCTTGCTCAACCATCCGAGAGCATCCTCACCGGAGAACATAGGAACCTCCAAGCGTCTATTCGCCGGAAAATTCAGGTTGATTCTCCTTCCATTCCTTCTTTCGTGTAAACCTGCATCCTCATCCTCAACATCGTTTTCTCCGTCACGAGAATGGCTCCACCTCCTCTCGGCCATTTCGTCTAGCCTCCTGAGTACCTCCGTCATTCCCCGTTCGTTCGCTCCCAACCTATTAAGAATTTCTGCATGTCGAGCTTCATTTTCGTCCAACCTTAGTAGCACCTCTTCATGCCTTGCGCTCCCTCTAAGTAGTCCCTCTTCGATCAAATCCATCCAATGCTCCATTAATCGCGTCACTACCATTCCACAGAGCTCCTAGATCGGAGCTCTGATACCAATTTGTTACGGTTCAACCAAATAAACCAGTAATTAATAATATGTAATAGGGAAAATTACAAAGAAACAGAGACAGATATTCCATTGGTTCAACCTTCATTTAAGATAATACATCTCAGAAACAGAGACAATTCCAAAAGAAAGGAAAATTACACAAGTTCACAAAGAAGAAAAGACTAAGCAGAAACGAAAAGATAATTGTGAGACAATTGTAGAGATCCCACACTCTCCCAAAGACTCCACACTCCAATCTCCCCTTTTTCCTTCTTCCTCCCACTAGATATAACCAACTTCAGGCCACCACACGCCCCATTCTGTTACGGGGTACTTTGGGAATTCTCCTTTGTCTCATTTGGGCCCTGTTGGGTCTGGTTCCATATTTGCTTGGCCTTATCCCTCCTATACGTCTTCGGCTGAATTGCATCAGTCTACATTCCGAATAGTTGGAACTTGGTACAGACTTTAAAGTCTCATCAAAGCAGGGGCATTATCTAGCTCTCGTGTCACGTACCAATTAGCATAAATGTGATTTGATCAATAAACTGTATTGGCAAGGCAACAATGGCAAAGGATATTAAAGTTATATATTTAAGTGAGTGAGAATAACTACAAATTCATAAGCTTCTAGAACAAATACTTTTCAAAACCTAATGTATCTATCAGCAGCATAATATGTAAGTACATTCTATCTGATTGCAGTGGTAACCTAGATGGTAACAGAAGATCACTGCTCCATCAAATGCATTACATAGAAGAAGACAATGCAATTCTTACCGTTTCAGGAAGCAAGAGAGTGAGAAACCAGCGCAAAGTGAGTAATAGATCAATTTATAAGTTTTAAGTTTTAACATTTCAGCTTAATTACATTTTAATTAAGTTAAGTTTTGGTCTACTTTAAATTAAGTTTGATTTTGGTCTCACTTGTTTTAATTGCTACAGTGTCATCTACATGGTTAAATCAAATACCCATCTCATTTGATGGTGAGCTGCACTGTCATTGCTTACATAACAGTCCTTCTTTACGATGTCTCAATCTTTTTTATTGACTTTGCTTACACAAAAAATTAGGTGACATAATGCCACATCAGCATTAAGAGTGTCCATCAATGTAAATATGACAACGGGAACTTAATTTCATCAATTTCTGAAAACTATGGGGATAGCAATGTTGCAATCAAAACCACAAGGACTAACGTAAAATTAAGCCTAAAAGGTTTTTCTAACATTATTTAAATATCATTTTGAAGATTTATCAGAGAGACATATAATGTATAACTATTGAAAGTAAATACTATTGACTCAAACTACAAACATAGACCTATCAACAGAGCAATGACAAAAGGAGCCAACTAGCACTTTGTATATTTGTAGTTCGGGCCTAGTGAAAAGAAGCAAGCAAGAGAGCATCCGTTTAATATGGGTCATCAAATTGTTCTACGTTAAGAAAGTGAACAGTAACTGATTTTACATTGTTGATTATTTAGGAATTATAAACTGTTTCTTGGATTTTCAAATTCATTATTTGTGGTCAACAATTATAAGAGACAGATCTCCAGAAGTATCTCTTTGGGGTTAGCAATAACCAAAAAGTCAAACAAAATCAAATGAATAGCTCAATTATAATTTTAAAGCATTTTATGGAGGTCCGTCTTTTCAAGCAATTAAGCTTCCGTAAACAAACAAACCTGTTAGTCTAATAAAATAGTACAGTCAAAGTTGGACTGTAAGAGGGGTTAGGATACAATGAGTCAGGATTAGGGTTTTCTTGGGTGAATCAATGCTGAAGAATAGGTGAATTGAAGGTTCATTGGGTGTATGTAAGGGTAAGGGATATTTCAAAATCATGGAATGGGTTTAATGAACCAGACTGGTTGCTGTAAACAGTAATATATGAAATTGGGGTTTGGGTTTTGATAGGTTTTTGGGCATATATGGAAGAAAGAATCAAGTAGACTTTTGACTGGGCTAATTTTTTACGTTGTCTGCTGAAAAAGTCTGATATGGGTAGTAGATAAAATTATAAATAATAGGGTACAAAATGACAAGATGAAAAGAAACCAAGCCATCACACAACCAAGAAGAGAGAATTATCCTGTCACAATTCATAATCTCATCTTTTTGAGAAGAAATACAAGAAAATCATTTAATCTCAAGCTCATATCAGCTATTCCGAAGTACAGGGCAAGGGACTATCCTACAAGAATTAGGAATATAATCCCAATCCTTTAAGCAGTGTGACTTTAAACTACTAGCTTCATAAGGGAAACTTGGATGATAAAATAAAACCCATTTAACACCTAACTTAAAGATAAACCCAAGGCCTAAGAGCAGACAATACAAAAATTATTAAAAATGACCTTGGACAGAAAATATAAAATAAAAATAGCAACAGATTAATAATAACAGTGATCTGGTAAGGTTTTGAAATAATACAATCAAGCCCAAATCAAAATTGTACCAAAATACTGATATAATTTGCCTTTAAACTTAGGCTTTCTTGATGCTAGCTCATCCGGCATCAATAGGTAAAGCCAAAACCAGCAGGTGAAGGTTTTAGACAAGGTTAAACGTTATTCTAGTCCTTATAGAAGCAAACCAGATGTCTGCCAGGCAGGTTAGGCCTAGAAACAACCATGATTTTATGCAGCGAGACATTAGCACAGATTTGATGAAATATTGTATTCCAGCAGCATCATTTATTTCATTTGACCCACTGATAACACTGAAAACTCTTATGCTCAAACTAAGCTCTAATAAAGTAGTGGCTTTTTACTTATATATTCCTGTACACATATACAACACAGAAGTGCTGTGAGTCTGATACGTCCCCAACTCTAACGCAAGAGAAAGTGCTGGAGAGTCATGCTGAGACAGCAGAGAGTTTGTTAGAGAAGAATATTTTAGAGTAAGCTAAACAGAAAGTAGTTAGGGAAGTGGTTATTGGAGGGAATTTCACAGAATAAATAGGAGTGCGAAGGGAAAGTTTGGGTATGGAATATCTTGGGAATTTGGGACTAAACTTGGGAGAGATTTCAGAGCCTCTCAAATTGCTCTGAGTCTATGTTACTTTATGTATTTTTTCTTTGCTTTCATTATACCTAAGACCTGATGGAGATGAGACACGATTGGTTACCTCTTCCGATTACCCCAAGCTCTCGCTCCTTCACCTAGCTGATGCATCGGCATTTGAAGATGGGATGATTGAGATGGATATAAAATGTTCCAAGTCAGTCAGTTTCAAGGTTGCAAGCTTGTCACAAAACAAGAAAATATGGATCGACTGAAGAAATTTTTCAGGCGCACTACCCATGTTCATATGAAGGGGTCACCAGCAAGGTTTGGATTTGTAAACATGTTCTTGGGCAAGCTGTTCCATCAAATTTTACCCCAACAATTGAGAAAGGCTTCAAGAAAGTTACTAATGCTCTTGGAATTAAGGACAAGCTGCAAGAGGGTGTATCAGAAGCCATTCAGTCCCTGAGGCAAGTTAGAATCAAGGTCTGGGTTCTTACTCGTGATAAACAAGAGACCACAATATTAATTGGTTTTTCTGCAAACTTCTGAGTGCAGATATTCAGCATATAGTTATAAATGGCAGCTTCTATTCATTACATTTTAAGCAATGGGATCCTGGGAAGACATCAATTCAGCTGTTGATCTTCACCTTGAGGACAAGGTAAAGTTTTGGGTTGGAGTATTGATACGTCCCCAACTCTAACGCAAGAGAAAGTGCTGGAGAATCATGCTAAGTCAGCAGAGAGTTTGTTAGAGAAGAATATTCTAGAGTAGGCTAAACAGAAAGTAGTTAGGGAAGTGGTTACTGGAAGGAATTTCACATAATAAATAGGAGTACGAAGGGAAAGTTTGGGTATGGAATACCTTGGGAATTTGGGACTAAACTTGGGAGAGATTTTAGAGCCTCTCGAATTGCTCTGAGTCAATGTTACTTTCTGTATTTTTTCTTTGCTTTCATTATACCTTTTGTAAGCTTCCATAGCTGATTTCATTTTTGATTAGCTTTCATCAATACAACATACCATATTCGACTTCTGCTATATTTTATCAATTGTTGGATCCTATCAGAGTCTATGACCAACATCCAATTCACTAAATTAGAATTTGCAAATTGTAAGATGTAGTATTTCTTGAATTCAAAGTCATTAGAAAATAGGCCTCATGATCATATAATGTAGCACTATACATTGGAAATACTAATGGAAAATAAGCCAAATATTACATAAACATATCATCATTGGTTTACCAATTTGAGAGCCCAGAATAAAAAGTTATTTAAAATACTAGTCCAGATGGATGTTTAGAAGAAAAGTCCATCATGATGGAAGTATTAAGATATCCCATCAAATATGATACAAGAATTGAAATACAAGTGAAAAAAATGTTAAGATAAGAAGGGTAAGAAATCTATGATATTGTGATTTTCCAAATAACATGGCATGAGCAGACTAAGACAAATAAAAATAAAAAATCGCAATTTTTGGGATTTTTTCACTAGCTACAATATTGTAATGGCGATTCCATTGCTATGCCTTTACAAGCAGTTTCCCGGTTAGAGTTTACATAATTTAGGGCAAAGCAAGGCAAAGCAACCAATACCATGACATTATCACAGCAATAAGGATGTTAATTTCTATTACAGATTACAGAATGATGACCTACACATCAAAGTAAACATATTAATCAAATCCAGCACTTACCATAATGGAATCTACACCACTTCCAATCTTATCTTCAGAATGTGGATGGTAAGCAAGAAGCTTCTCTACAACAACTCTCTCATCCTCGACAGTTAGTTGCTCCCCATCCATGTACCTGGCATAGAAAATCAAAGAGATTAAGATAAATAATCATTAAATGGTACCCCATATATTCAAATAACGCAGCACCAGATATTGAAATGATAATTTATTGATAAAAAAAAAAAAACTATAAATCCAGCATAAAGACTCAAAGGCAATTGAGCACAGTGAACTATTGTTGTTGTGAAGAGAAATTAACAGAAATTAGTTACCTTGGAGAATGGAGAATATCCTTGGTTAGCGTAACGATTGGTTCAATGTCCCTCAGAATCTCCTCTTTTTTATTCTTCCAATCGGGGTCATCCCATCGCTGGTCCCTATTGGAGGTGCGGGTATTGGTCACACAACTTGCTTTCTCGTTTGCTTCTTCCGAAGATGACGTGGCACTGCACCACAGCCGATACCGGTGCGGCGCCGCAACGGCTCCGGCGGTGAACAGTTGGTAGTTATGATACCGAAGGCGATGAAGCAGAAAATGCCTGAGAAGAATAGGAGCGGCCATTGAATCAACTTCAAATTCAATGCTTCATCGTGAAAGAGCAAGCCACAGTGGAACGCTCGGGTTCGATGACACTGCTTCTCGGGGCTCCGAATTCTTGAAGGTCCGAGCCGAAGGCAAGTTATTCAAACCTGATAGAAAATATCTATTATGGTAATAATTCAACATTATGTGACCGAAAATAAATCATAAGCACAGCAATTTTTATATTTTTATTTTACCTATGATACACACAAGTAAAGTGATAACCATCATTATTATCAAAAATAAAAATAAAAATAAAAATGATAAGCATCATGTGATTCAGGTGTGTGCTCAAATATTGCCAGGACTACAATAAAAATTAAAATTAAAATTAAAACCTTGTTTTATAAGTGCGATTTGACTTGGGTGACTGGACTTCGTTATGTAACCAAATTTTTTTATAAGCACGATCTTGCTTGGGTGACTAGATTTTTCTCTTAAACCCTTTTTTTGTTAAGAAAAATCAATGTATTTTTTTGAGGTAAACATAGATACTTGAGAATTGTATTATTTATTTAAATTTTATCGCATAACTACTTAATGATTCAAAGAAAAAGTACTACTCAATAATATTATAGTGTCTCAATAAGTTAATAATTAATTTAGGAATAAAATATTATATCTATTTTTTTATTCTTACTTTATTTACTTATCTCCAATACTATTGGATTATAATCGCAAAAGAAGAGAAAAAAAGTAAAAATTAATTGAGATTCTAATTTAATAACGTGGGAGATAAGTAAATAAGGTAGATATAAAAAAATAGATAAAATATCCTAGTCCTTAATTTAGTTACAAGAATTGATCGCAATGTGCAGAAAAAATAAATAAATAAATAAAATTCAATCCGATTGGGAGCCTCTTAATCACAATAATATCCAAATAGTACACTATTTTTGAACTTTTAAAAAAAAAAAAAATTGGGCTAAATGAAGGTTCAATGCCAAGTTTTAAAAGCTCACATGTAAGGAAAATTATTTGTCCTTTTAAAAGATATAAGTTACATCTTTCTAATTTTTAATACTATGTATTAGGGGTAATATATAATTATAATATAAAAAATTACTTTTTTTCTATCATCAGTCAATTCAGCTAACGTGGAAAGTGAAAAAAGTAACTTCTTATATTACAACTATGAGTTCACTTTTTCTATAATCAATGTAAATAACTTATTTACATTGAACTCAAAATGACGTCATTTTGAGGCAGAAATCAAAGTATTTTTGTAATTATAAATTATTTCAAAGTTATAATAGTTTTTTTTATTATAATTTTTTAATTTTTCAACCAAAACGACATTATTTTTGGGAATGAAAGTAGATTAAAGCCTATAATTATATGGGCAATGCTTTTCTCATGTTACATGAGATAACATTGTCTTATGTAGAGACATAATTAGGTGGGTCCCATAATTAAAAGAAAAGAAAAAGAAATGCTAGCTCGGATTTCGATGTGTGTATAACATGAGATAAGGTTTCTCATCTAACATAAGAAAAATACTTCTTTAACTATATACTACCAATAATACATAGTATAAAAAATTAAAAGAACACAAATTATATCCTTTTAAAGGACCCACACTAAACCCTTTTAACTATATAAGTAAGATATGAGATAAATTATCCCCACTTTCTTTTATGTGTTGTAGGCTTAGGAGTTTCACTCAGTATCATATGTGTAATTTATAAGTATAATTTCTTGCTAACTTTTACGTATTTATAGGATTAGATATTTCATTATTATCCAACATGAAACTTTAAAATTTCCAAAAAATAAAAATGAAATTTTAAAATATTTAAAAAGGATAGGTTATTCTACCTATCATTTTTCTGCCTACCTTTGCCTACCACCCTCCAACACCGTTAGATAAGAATCTCAAGAAGAGAGAGAAAAATAAATGTTAGTTAAGATTATGATCTAATGGTGTTTTAGAGTGGTAGGCAAAGGTAGGCAGAAAAAATAATAGGTAGAATTGTTGGGCTTCCTCCTTTAATGCTAAGCCCAAGCCCATTGAGGGGTTCCCTAAAAATCCTAAACCCTAGATCTTACCTCCTCTATATATTCATTAGTTGTGGGTGGAGGCTAGGTTAGAGAGAGAAAATCATTTGAGAGATTTGAGAGCAAAGCTTTAAGCTTTGTATTTGAGAGATCTCTAGAGAGAGTTTGAGTGAAACATCTCTAAGGTAGTTTGATTATCACCATTGTTGGAGAGGTTGTGTTAACCACCACATTGGTGTATTTTGATTATTTGTATCCATTATTTTCATAGTGGACGTTTGATCTGGACTAGGTCCCGTCGGTTTTTACTTATTCATTGGAGAAGGTTTTCCCACGTTAAAATCTGTTTGTGTTCTCCTTCTCTCTCTCTTTTGTTTATGTTTTTGTTTTTCGCTGTGTTGCCCGACCTGGTGAAGTTCAGGCCGAGGTAAATGCCAAGATCCAAGATCTTGTTGATTGACTTCCGCGCAAAAGGCTGCTTAGCCGAGCTTAAGGGAACTGAGTTCCCAATAGTGGTATCATAGCCCGAGTTCGACGGGTTCTGAGGGAGATGAGATGGAGACCAGTGGCATAACCCATGATGGAGATATGTTCAAGCTGACTGCAGACAACTTCACCTATTGGAGACCTATGATGGAAGATCATCTCTACTGCAAAGATTTACATGAGTCCATTATCCTTGATGAGAGACCGGCTGGCAAGACCGATAAGGAGTGGGAGATTCAAAGTCGTAAGGCGGTAGCTACAATTAGAAAATACATAGACAAGAGCCTCTTTGAGCACCTGTCCGAGTTCACGAATGCGTACGAGTTGTGGACGAAGCTGGAGTCCATGATTCATAAGAAGACTCCCAGGAACAAAGCACACTTGGTTCGTCAACTTGTGAAGCTGGAATACAAGGACGACATGAGCATGATTGAACACCTCAACACCTACAAAGGTATTGTGAATCAGCTGCCAAAGGCTGAGATGAAAATTGATAACGAGATGCAGGTTTTGCTGCTGTTGAGCTCGCTGCCAAAAAGCTGGGATACTCTGGTGGTGACCATGAGTAATTCGACTCCAGATGGAAAATTGAAGATGGATGTCGTAACAGATAGTCTCCTGAATGAAGAAGCCAGGAGAAGAGAACGATTGTTTCAAGCACGTCTGAGGCCAACGTTGCTGAGAATAGAGGGAAATTCGACTCCCGGGGTAGAAGCAAGAGCCGAGGTCGAGATCGTGATAGAAGAGGAAAGTCCAGAGGCCGGTCAAAGCCGAAATATGAGTTGAAGTGCTTCTATTATGGGAAGACAGGACATAAGAAGCCAGACTGCTGGACTCTGCAGAATGATGAAAAGAACGGCTATGTGAATCCAAATCAGATTATTCCCAAGAAAAGGAAAGACAAGAGCACCACTGCGGTGGCTGCCAACTCGGATGTCGACATATTCCTCCTAGGATAATTATTTGAATGTTGCATATGATGATTGCACCTGGATTATTGACTCTGGTGCCTCCTTCCACGTTACTCCACACAAAGGTTTTTTTCTCCTCTTACCGAGGTGGTGATTTTGGAGTCGTGAAGATGGGAAATCAAGTGAGCAGCAAGATTGTTGGTGTCGGTGATGTAACCCTGACCACAGATGTTGGGTGCCGACTTGTGCTGAAAGATGTAAGGCATGTTCTTGACATGCGATTGAACCTAATCTCGGTAGGCAAGCTTGATGATGCCGAATTAATGAACTACTTTGGTAGTGTTAGATGGAAGTTGGCCAAGGGAAACTTGGTCGTGGCCCGAGGTAAGAAGGATGGCTTCTTGTACGTGATGCAAGGAAAGATCAATGGCGGAGAAGCCAATTTTGTCTGAGATGGACCTAGCTTGGAGTTATGGCACAAGCGCCTTGGCCATATGAGTGAGAAAGGGCTCCAAATCCTGAACAAGAAAGGATTATCGACCGGGTTGAAAGGCCAAGCGTTGGAGAGTTGCATGCATTTCCTAGCTGGAAAGTAGCACCGAGTTTCTTTCTTGAGACCGGATTAACCCAGAAGATGCAGGTATATTCTTGACCTCGTCCATACTGATGTTTGCTCCAATTCGGAGAGATCTCTTGGAGGAGCTCAGTATTTTATTTCATTCATTGATGATCATTCCTGCAAAGTGTGGGTATATTTGTTGAAGTATAAAGACCAGATACTCCAATCCTTTAAAGAATTCCATGCTATGGTTGAAAAGGAGACTGGAAAAAAATTGAAGATGGTCCGATCTGACAATGGTGGTGAGTATTGCAACCCTTTTGATGCATATTGCAGAGCGGCCGGGATCCAGCTTGAGAAAATGCCCCCCAAGACTCCACAGTTGAATGGACTTGCTGAGTGGATGAACCGGACTATTGAAGAGAAGGTCCGAAGTATGCTATCCAATGCTGGATTAACGAAATCATTATGGGGAGAAGCCGTCAGAACTGCTATTGATTTAATCAACCTCTCACCATCACGACCACTTGAAGGAGAAATTCCAGAAGAAGTCTGGACAGGTCGGAAAGCGGCCTATAATCAACTGAAGGTGTTTGGATGGTGAGCTTTCGTGCATATCCCTAAAGATGAAAGGGCAAAACTTGATGCGAAGACAAAAAAATGCATTTATCTTGGTTCGCCGAGATTTGAGTTCGGGTTCCGACTTTGGGATCTAATCAATAAGAAGATAGTGAGAAGTCAAGATGTGATCTTTCATGAAGATGAGACCATTCATGACATCTCGAAGCCTAAAGTCTGGGTTACTGTCAGACGTGAAGAATCCATCCCTCTTGTCCGAGCTGAAGCAGGGGGAGAAAATCAAGAGAATGAAGAAATTGATGACCAGCAACAAGCTGATGATGGCCAAGACACTGAGGTCCGAGTTGATGATGAAATTCAGGATGAGAATGATGAACCGAGTTCTCAAGCTGAAGAACAGCCAATATATCCAACTTGAGAAAAAGACCCTCTACAAGGTACCCATCTAATGAATACATTGTTGTTGCTGAAGACGGTGAGCCTCAGAGTTATGATGAGGTTGTGACGAGCTCAGAGAAAGAAGAATGGGAAAAGGCAATGCAAGACGAGATGAAGTCTTTGCACGAGAATCAGACTTATGAGCTGACCGAGTTGCCAAAAGGGAGACGAGCTCTGTAAACCAAATGGGTTTACAAGATTAAGAATGAAGAGAACGGGCAGAAGCCGAGATACAAAGCCCAGATTGTAGTGAAAGGCTGCAATCAGAAGAAATGTGTAGATTTTGAGGAGATTTGTTCTCCTGCGGTGAAAATAACATCGGTTCGAACCGTGTTAGCTATGGCGGCTTCGATGGACCTCGAGGTAGAATAAATGGACGTGAAGACGGCATTTCTTCATGGTGATTTAGAAGAAGAAATATATATGAAACAACCTGAAGGATTCCGAGCTCCAGACCAAGAAGACTTGGTATGTGGATTGAGGAAGAGCCTTTATGGCTTGAAGCAAACACCTCGGCAGTGGTACAAGAAATTTGAATCATTCATGACTGATCACAAGTTTGAGAAGACAAAAGCCGGCCACTGTGTATTTGTGAAGAGGTATAATGCCAGAGATTTTTCGATTTTGTTGTTATATGTTGACAACATGCTTATTGTAGGGAAAGACAAATCGAGGATAGTCGTCCTGAAAAAGGCGTTGAGCTTATCCTTCGCAATGAAGGACCTCGGCCTTGCAAAGCAGATACTCGGAATCAAGATTATCCGAGATAGACAAAAGAAGCTACTGCGGCTAAGTCAAGAGAAGTATATTGAGAAGATTCTGAAGAGATTCAGCATGGACAAAGCCAAAACAGTGAGCATACCCCTAGCTGGACACATAAAGCTGAACCAGAAGCAATGTCCGAGTTCTAATGAAGACAAAGACGAGATGCTGAAGATCCCGTACCAATCCGCTATCGGAAGCTTGATGTATGCAATGGTTTGTACTAGATCCGACTTAGCGTATGCTGTTGGAATAGTAAGCCGGTATTTGTCAAACCCCGGCAAAGAACACTGGGAAGCAGTGAAGTGGATCTTCAAGTACCTCCGAGGTACGACCAACTTATGCCTCCGATTTGGAGAAGGCAAAGCCGAGTTGCAAGGCTACTCGAATACTGATTTAGGGGAGATTTCGACTCGAGGAAATCGACGACGGGATACATGATGAGATTTGTCGGAGGAGCTGTCTCTTGGCAATTGTTAGGTCAAAAGCTGTTGGGTGAAAAATATATTATGATGAAGACGTTCCTCAGTTCACTAAGAAAGAACACAATTGCTCTCTTAGTTTCAACCCAAGTGCGCAAGTGCACGCATCAAGTAATAAATGGGAGTGTTAATGCCCAGATTATCGTTCCCACGAGGATGAAACTCTAATTAGTGCCTTATACTATTTTACAAAGAATGAAAATGAAAAGAAAAGTTAGTAATTGACCCATCTGGTCAAACGTTCCCTACTGTCTTGACAACGTTCCTTAAGAACAGTAGGTTCAATTTGACAGCAAACAGTTCATCGCTTCGTTATGTATGATGCCCTTCTTGTTGAGAGAAGGAAAAACAATATTCATGGGAGAGTTATAGATACAAGATCGAACAAATAATAGAAAAATAACAATAGTAATAACAGTAATTAAGAGACAACAGGATGGTGTAAAACAATTTAACAGAAGGAACGAATCCGCTGTTCCGTTCTTAAATAAATATTTTCTCTACTTAAGTTTTAACACTTTTGTCTTTGTTTCAGTCTCTTAACTGTCAACGTCTGATTCCTCAGCTTATGGACTGGATGACTCACAAGTTTCCATATTCCTATGGCTCCCTTGACTCCAACAGGTACTTGGTACAGGACCTTAAAATGAACGAGGTGGCCCCTTATTCCTAAGGCAACCAGCAGTGTTGTTTCCACAACACTGCCTTCATCCTCTGGTTAAGCTGTCTGAAATCCCTTCCTTATGGAAGTTCCTTTCTCAGTATGTGTTCAATTTCCATTGATACACAATGAATATAGCTCACTTAACTAGAGAAATCCAAAAGCTTAAATACAAAAGTTTTGAAAATAAGTTTTTAAGAACTTTGCAGTTTTTTCGTTCCACAGATAGGTTAGCCCATGGCTACTAGTTTAAACATAATTATTCCAAATTGAAATCTCATAGACCCGAGATTCAGTTCAGAGATAACGAATGGAAAGGAGAGAAATAACACTTGTATTTAAATGAAAATAACTTGATTACAACAAAATGAAAAGTGGAGAATATGGTTGTTGCTCGTGAGGAGTCTCAAGTGGGTGATACAGAATGAAGAAGAAGTGTTGTCACTTAACTAAAGTTAAAATTGTACAAAAAATACAAAGAAAACTATAAACTAAACTAAGTGATATCTTCTTAAGGAATTCGATTGTTGTCTTCTTGCTGGAACGTCCTATTTATAGGTAGAAGAGTGAACGGCAAAGTGGGTAATTCTCTTGGAGTTGTTTTCTTCACTGCATGGAAGAGGCAGTGTGAACAGTACTTTGAGGGGCGCAAGTGGCTGGATGGGACAGTTATTGTTGAGATTTGTCTTTCCTTCTGATCGTCCAATGCCTTGCTTTCCTCCTTAGCCAATAGGAACCGTTTATTTTCTGTTGCGCACGTTTCATCTTGCTTGATTGCTGCATCGCTTATGCTTTATGGAAACTTCTTTCCAACGTTTCCTGTAAAGTGGTCAGAAATATTAAATGAGTGGAGCAGGTGTATTTAATGTTTCAAATCAATTTCCCTTTTTATATATTTTCCAAAGACTTACGTCACCATCCGTTCCCCACTGTGTTTTTGTCAAAAAAATATTCAACATATGCTTTTAGTGCTAAAGTTACTCATCAGGTGATGGAACGGATGGCATTTTGCCATCAAAATGGGCTTAGATGGGCAGAGACTTTTGTCCCATCAGCAATCAAGACTTCAGAAATGTGTTACACTATCAACAACTGAGGCTGACTACATTGCCGCGACTAAGGCAAGTAAAGAGATGTTGTGGATGAAGAAGTTCCTCATGGAACTCGGCCATGATCAAGACAAGTACGAGCTGGGTTGTGACAATCAAAGCGCAATCCATATTGCGAAGAATTTGACCTATCACTCCGCACTAAGCACATTGATGTGAGGTATCACTGGATCCGGGATGTGGTGGAAGGAGGAGAGCTTGAACTCGTGAAAGTGCACACTGACCAAAATTGGTCCGACATGATGACGAAGCCGGTTCCAGCAAGAAAATTTGAAGACTGCTGTGAAGGAGCCGGGTTGATGCTGAAGTCGACGCATTGAAGTCGGAGGGGGAGATTTGTTGGGCTTCCTCCTTCAATGCTAAGCCCAAGCCCATTTAAGGGTTTCCTAAAAACCCTAGATCTCACCTCCTCTATATATTCATTAGTTGTGGGTGGAGGTTAGGTTAGAGAGAGAGAATAGATTTGAGAGAAAATCATTTGAGAGATTTGAGAGCATAGCTTTAAGCTTTGTATTTGAGAGATCTCTAGGGTAGTTTGATCATCACCATTGTTGGAGAGGTTGTGTTAACCACCACATTGGTGTATTTTGATTCTTTGTATCCATTATTTTCATAGTGGACGTTTGATCTGGACTAGGTCCCGTGGGCTTTTACTTCTTCATTGGAGAAGGTTTTCTCACATTAAAATCTGTTTGTGTTCTCCTTCTCTCTCCTGTTTGTGTTTTTGTTTTCCGCTACGTTGCCCGATCTGGTGAAGTTCAGGCCGAGGTAATTACCGAGATCCGAGATCCAAGATCTTGTTGATTGACTTTCACGAAAAGGCTATTTAGCCGAGCTTGAGGAAACTGAGTTCCCAACAAGAATAACCTATCCCTATTTAAAAATACATAACAAAAAAACCTTTTTTTATTAGTTATGATTAATATCTCAAGCTATATAGTATAGTATTCCATCGAGCATGTGAAATATCATGTGTAATTCCATTTGAAATTTTTGCGATAGAGATTGCAGGATCAACAAACTTGAGCACTAATTATTAAATAAATAAAAAACTAATGTCACCAATCATCACCAAAATATAAAATAATGTATAAATTGGAAAAATATTTAAAATTTAATTACTTCAAATTTGTTTAATGAAGAGGGCGAATTAGAATAGTGCAAAAAATGTTTCATCGTGATTAAAGATCACAAATTTAAAATCAAGAAAAAGATTCTTTGTAACATGCATAGTAAGACTGTATATACTGCCATCACTCCTATGGAATTGATTGGTTGGTGGGGACTGCGGAGAATGGTTTTGCGAAAAATTGGTTGTTACAGGGTGGAATTAATTATGAGGAAATTGTTACAGAGGAAGGAAGAAGAAGGAAATGACGTGGCTGTAGTATCTGATAAAGTTGACAAGCAAAGTGAAGTTGCTGATGTGGATAGAAAGGGTGCAGTTGCTGACGTGTATTATGCAGCTACAAATCATGACAAATAGGAAATAATTGATTTTAGTTAGATTTTTGTTAGATTTGTATTTTCCCGCTTTTATTCTTTATTTAGTTAGCTGGTTAGGATCCGGTTATTGTATACATACATATATATAAAGGACCAATTGTATATTGATTGATCATTATTCAATGAAATCATGAGCCAAGCTCCTTTCCCTCGTTTTTGCATTCTCAATATGGTATCAGAGCTCACATAGAGTTTTAGTACTCATCTTTCGTTTGTTTTCTTTCAATTCTTCTTTGATTTCTACAATGGATCCTGAAAATTCTGATATGGATTTCAACACAAATCCATCAAATCCTCTGTTTCTTCATCCAAGTGAAAATCCATCGTTAATTCTGGTGAATCAACCATTAACAGGAAGCAACTATCATACTTGGGCGCGTTCACTAACTGTAGCGCTTTTGTCCAAAAATAAAGTTGGATTCATCGATGGAAGCATTATTACTCCACCACCTAATGATCCAAGTTTCTCTCAATGGCAACGATGTAATACCATGGTGATAACCTGGATACATCGCTCCATATCAGAGTCTATTTCAAAATCGATAATCTAGATCGAGAAAGCTCGTGATGTGTGGCTGGATTTGCAAGAACGCTTTTCTCAGTCTGATGTATTCAGAATCTCAGATCTACCACAGGAAATTTACAAACTGCATCAAGGTGATCGTAGCGTGTCAGAATTTTATACAGAACTCAAGACTATGTGGGATGAACTTGAGAACTTGAAGCCACTACCTGCATGTACTTGTTTTCCTCCATGTACGCGTGGTGCTTTCAGCAGAATGCGAGCTTATCGTGACAGAGATCACATGATCCGTTTCCTAAAAGGACTAAACGATCAATATGCTGTTGTTCGCTCTCAGATTATGTTAAGCGATCCATTATCGAATGTTAATCGTGCTTTCTCCATGGTCTCACAACAGGAGAGACAATTTGGTGCTGATAATGGAGGTAACAATGGAAGCAGTTCATAACCATATGTTGTATTCAATAATAGCAACAATGCTACTGGAAGTGATGGTTGTAGCAATAATAATAACAATTTCACTGGAAATGATGTTCGTAGAGGTTTTAATAGTCCAGGAGGCAGATATGGCAGAGGACGTGGTAGATATGGAGGAAGAGGAAATCTTTTGTGCACTCACTGTGGTAGGATCAACCACACTACTGAAACCTGCTATCAACTCCACAACTATCCACCTGGATACCATACGAGAAATGCTCAATCTAGTGCCAATAATGTTGCTCAGGATAATGCTACCATGACTACCAGAAATGAGATGAATCTTAGTACTTTTTCACAAGAACAGTACCAACACTTGGTTTCTCTTCTGCATAATTCTCATAATCCCAATGCAGTAGCTCAAACTGCTCCTAATACTCTCAATGCTTCTAATCATGCTGTGAACATTACACAGATTTCAAACATACACACGGATGCTTCAGGTAGTCTCAATACAAAGTGGGTAGTAGATACTGGTGCAACTGACCATATATCTCATGAGCCTTTATTCTTTTGTTCTCTCCATAAAATTGAACCCATATATGTCATGCTTCCTAATGCAACATATATAGTATGCCATTTTTCTGGTACTGTTCATTTGCTACCTAACCTCACATTAACAGATGTTTTATTTGTTCCATAATTTCATGTGAATTTAGTATCAGTTTCAAAACTAATTCACACTCTTAAGTGCCATCTGATTTTTCGTGATTCTTTGTGTTTCATTTCACAGAATCCCTCCCAGGAGATGATTGGTATTGCTAGACAGCAGAAAAGCCTCTATGTGATAGTAAATGAGGATAACACCTTGAAGAATAAGGACTCATAGCCTGAAACAGTGTCCCATTGCAATAATAATACATCTAATGTATCAGATTCTTCTCTTAATGAATCTGTTTTATGGCATAGAAGACTAGGCCATGTGTCAGATAATATTTTACAAGCAATGTCATCCCAATTTCCCTTGGTTTCTTGTTCTCAATATACACAACCTTGTGATTCGTGTCATTTAGCCAAACAAAAAGATTACCTTTCGTTTCCAGCACCTCAGTCACTAATTAAGTTTTTGAACTTTTGCATGCTGAAATACGGGAGCCATTTCATATTCCATCCATTCATGGGCACAAATATTTTTTAACTTTGGTAGATGACTTCTCACGATTCACTTGGATTGTCTTAATGAAACATAAAAGTGAGACACGAAGCCATATTCATCATTTTCATTCACTAGTTGCAAACCAATTTGGATCTTCCATTAAAATACTGAGGAGTGATAATGGAAAGGAATTTTTAATGCCTGAGTTCTTCAGTTCAAAGGGCATAATACATCAAACTAGCTGTGTTGAGACACCACAGCAAAATGCTGTTGTGAAACGTAAGCATCAACATTTGCTCAATGTGGCACGTGCTTTAATGTTTCAAGCTCCTCTTCCTCTCAGCTTGTGGTCATATGCTGTTAATCATGTTGTTCATCTTATTAACCGTGTGTGCACTCCATTGCTTTGCAACATGACTCCATATGAGAAACTCTATGGAAGACCTCCTATCTTAGTTCACTTACGAGTTTTTGGATGCTTATGTTATGCTTCCACCAACTCATCCCAACGCATAAAATTCTCTCCACGAGCTAGGAAAGGAGTTTTTGTTGGATATAAGGATGGGACTAAAGGATATTTGGTATATGATTTGACCTCCCATGCACTTTTGGCTTCGCGGAATGTTGTATTCTATGAGCATAATTTTCCTTTTAAACCAATCCCACAAACTCATGTTCCAGTCACACCACCTGTGTCACCTGATTTAAATAGTTTTCCTGATACTTATGATCTGGTTTTTCCCATAACCACTCCAAACACTGATCCTCCAAACCTTAATCCATCTCCAACCAATTCAAACAATACACCCAGTCCTACTCCTACCTTTACTGAGTCAGAAGTCAACATTCCACCCTCACATACAGTTCTTCCTCGTTCTTCTCGAGTTCATGGTCCTCCTCGCTACCTCATTGACTATCATTATGGGCTTTCTGCTATAAAAAATACAGTCATCTCCAGGTACTCCTCTTTACCCTTTATCTGATGTAATTTCATATGATTCATGTTGCTCACCTTACAAACTTTTTTGTCTGAACTCTTGTACCTAACTTGAACCCCACATTTATTCTCAAGTTGTTCCACATAAAGAGTGGAAGGAAGCAATGCAGATTGAACTCAATGCTTTAGAACATAACAAAACATGGTCTCTTGTTGAGTTATCTCCCACTAAACAACCCATAGGTTGTAAGTGGGTCTACAAAATTAAGTATCACTCAAATGGCACAATTGAGCGATATAAGGCGAGGCTTGTGGCCAAGGGATTCACGCAGCAAGAGGGGGTTGATTACTTTGACATGTTCTCCCCTGTTGCAAAGCTTAACTCAGTTAGAACACTCCTAGATGTTGCTGCAGTAAAAGGATGGCAACTTACTCAACTTGACGTAAATAATCCATTCCTCCGTCCTATTGCGGCAAATGCTTGTCAAAAGGCGTTTGTAACTAATCGTGTGGGGGATTTTGGTTTATTATTAGGAATTTTAGGTCTTTATTGGATAACGGGTAGTTTGGAATTTCAAGATTTGTTTCAAATATTCAAAAATTTGATTTCGTCTCTCAGTGTCAGTGTCGGCCCAGCAGAGTGCTTTCGCCGTTGGTGTTCTTTCCGATCTCTACGCATTTCACCGCTCCACCGGAAATTCCCTCTGCCCCTACCGTACTCCAGCTTGATAGTTTCCACCGCTTGTCCAGGGTTGAGCCCTGGGATTTGACGGCGAACTTAAAAAGCCACCTACAGACACTTTACGCCCAATCATTCCGGATAACGCTTGCATCCTCTGTCTTACCGCGGCTGCTGGCATAGAGTTAGCCGATGCTTATTGATCTTAATGAGGAGGTTTATATGCAAATTCCTCCTGGCTTACAAACCTCTCACCCTAACCTTGTTTTTAAACTTCACAAGTCTCTGTATGGCTTAAAGCAGGCAAGTCGCCAGTGGTATGTCTAGCTTTCATCAGCTTTGGTTTTGTTGGGTTATACACAAACCAATTCTGATCATTCCAAGTTTGTTCGACACACTTCTTCAAGCTTCACAGTACTTTTGATATATGTTGATGATATAGTAATTTTGGGAGATTGTCTTGAAGAGATTAACCGAGTGAAATCTTATCTTGATAATAGATTCAAGATAAAGGATTCGGGAAACCTAAGGTACTTCTTAGGCTTGGAGGTAGCTAGATCCAAGTCAGGAATCATTGTTAATCAACGAAAATACACCCTTGAGCTTATCTCAGATGCTAGGCTATTGGATGCAAAGTCAGTATCTACCCTAATGGATTCATTGTGCAAATTATCTTGTACGCAAGGAACCATTCTGAATAATGCAGCTACATATAGACGCTTAATTGGTCGTTTACTTTATTTGACCACAACGCGTCCTAACATATCTTTTACAGTCCAGCAATTATCGCAGTTTGTTTCGTGCCCTTCTGATATTCATATGGCAGCTGCAGTTCGGGTTTTGAAATATTTAAAAGGAAGCCCAACAACTGGGTTGTTCTTTTCAGCAAATACCAACCTCCATGTAAGTGGGTTTGCAGATGTAGACTGGGCATGTTGCCCAGATACGAGAAAGTCAATCTCAGGGTATTGTGCTTTCATTGGATCATCCCTAGTGGCATGGAAAGCCAAGAAACAGAGCACCATTTCGCGTTCTTCCTCAGAAGCTGAGTACCGAGCCTTGGCAAGCCTTTCATGTGAGTTACAGTGGTTGCAATACTTATTCACAGATTTGCGTATTCCCTGGAACAAACCAGTGTTAGTCTTTTGTGATAATAGATCAGCAATTTATCTTGCTCACAATCCAGCATTTCATGAGCGTTCTAAGCATATCGAAATCGATTTCCATGTAAAGCGTGAGAAGATACTTTCTAGCTTGATCAGGTTACTTCCAGTAAGTTCTGTATCACAACTCGCTGATGTGTTTACTAAACCTTTAGCTTGTGCTCATTTCAATTTCATCATGTTCAAGATTAGTCTTATCAACATTATGCGTCCATCTTGTGGGGGGTGTTACAAAAGAAGGAAGAAGAAGGAAATGATGTGGTTGTAGTATCTGATAAAGTTGACAAGCAAAGTGAAGTTGCTAACGTGGATAGAAAGGGTGCAGTTGCTGACGTGTATTAAGCAGCTACATATCATGACAGATAGGAAATAAATTATTTTAGTTAGATTTCTGTTAGATTTGTATTTTCCCGCTTTTATTCTTTATTCTGTTAGCTGGTTAGGATCAAGTTATTGTATACATATATATAAAGGACCAATTGTATATTGATTGATCATTATTCAATGAAATCATGAGCCAAGCTCCTTTCCCTCATTTTTGCATTCTCAATGAAATCATTTGCTAGGGACTAAAGCGGGCATCGTAAAATTTGCTTAGGACCAAAAAAGGTATTTACTCAATTTTTTATTCATAAACATAATTAATTCAAAATTAATTTCAACACTTATAAGCTAGATGGATTTAAATTCCAAAAAGTAATTGTATTATCATTTTCAGCATTACGATATGTTGTTAGCTAGCTTGCAAGGTTTCTTTCACGTGTTTTCATACCATTTTAAGATAAGACTAAATTGTGTTCGGGCATCTAATGACATGGTCCTCGCTACGAGTGATTCACGTCAAACTCCTGTAAATTACAAGTTCATCTATATAAAACACATATTGGTAAATGTCACTGAATCTTGCGTCGTGGTTATCTTGGTAATGAAAACTTCATGTTACCGAATATTTTTATGCTATAGTTTAATTTGTTTTAATATTTAACTTGATTAAATTGAATATTTATGGGTCTTAAGATTACCTTTTTATTGATATGGGAATCGAGTTTTATATTTGAACTTAATACTTTGAATTTTAAGGAAGTCTGTATGCATTGAGAAGGATGAACAACTGATTCCAAATCATGCTTACTAAAGGACGATCTCATAGGACATGAATAGTGGTCTCCTGATTACTATGAAGGAGACCGTAGTTAGGATCAACAATGCTCCATTTTTGGTTCTTTTAGGCTTACTAGGATTATTATTGAAACTCCCGTGAACCACAAGCCAAAGAAAGTAACTATCTTTTATGAGGCTTGAATCTTCCACTCATTATCCCTTCCAGTGTATATTTTGTGCTATAACTTATTTTTAACGCAAAAAATTTATCTGTTTCTTATAATTTATTTTATTTTCCCTTTAAGCTGACAATGTGAAAAGGTGTAAAAAATCAATTCAACTCAAAAGTTTAAGTTTTTTGGATGAGGACCTTTTTAATGGTTTATATTATTCTTTAACATATCTTTTCACGCAGATCTTTGGGCTTGAAGTGTGTATGTTGCACATGTCTAATTTTTGATTTTATCTTGTACTTATTTAATTCCACTAGAAAGTAAGGAGCAATGAGGATCGAACTCGTAATCTTATGGTCACCAAAGCTTTGGTACCATGTAAAGAACTAATTCAACTTAAAAGCTTAAGTGCTTATTTGGATCCTCTTTTTTTTAAGCTAGAAGCTACTTATAAGCAGAAGCTAGGCCAAACAAGTTTTCAAAAAAACTCTTATAATGAAAAGCTCTTTTTTTATAATGAAGAAAAAAGTTAAAAGCCAAAAGCTCCTAAGAGGAGCTTCTTTTAAGCTCTTATTAACTTTTCTTAAATTGTGTGCTTTTTTTAAATGAAGAACTATAAAGAGAGAGAGTTTTCTTGAAATATGTGCTTTTAAGTAACTTTTAAACTAAATTTTTTTATGTAATCACTAAATAACTTTTAGCTTTTTTTAAGCTCTTTTTTTAGCTTTAACTTATAAGTAGCTTCTAACTTAAAAAAAGAGGATTCAAACAGATTCTAAATCAACATATGCCAAAGTAGGAGTAACACATGCATAGAGTTTGAATTCGCCACGACCATTGGAGGAGATGAAGAATTTTGACTATGATAAGGCATGAGGTACCCAAGAAAGATATTTATGGAGCTAAATGTTGACAGAAAAAGAATAACATGAATGATTTTTGTGTGATCATAGAATCCATCATAGGCTAAAAGGAAATTGTAAATGTGGAGCTAAATGTTGACCAACAAGAAAAGCATGAACATGAAATGAGAGTAGTGGAAATGAAAATGTTAAAGTGGATGTGTGATCATGCAAGGATTTATAAGATAAGAAATAAAGGCATTTAGAAAAAAGTTTAGTAATAATAATAGAAGAAAATATGAGGGAACATAAATTGAGATTATTTGAATGAATTCTTCAAAAGCCCTTACATGCTCCAGTAAGAAAAAAACTTTGTTACAAAGAGTATAACATAAAGAAAAGAAGTGGCCAACCAAAATTTATTTGGGAGAAAGTGATAAAATACAAATTAATGGAGTTAGAAATAAAATGATGTGAGGCTTATCTTAGAATCTAATGGAGAAAAGTTATTAAAACTGTAGAAGGGTAGATTTGTGCTATTAGCTTTTTTTTTCCCTCTCTCTTTGAAAAATAATAATAATTTAATTTCTCAATTTTTTTATTTGGTTTTTATTCTGTATAAATTTTGTTTTCTTGTTTATTAGTTATTTATTTTAATGTGTAATCTATTGTGGAACCAATTAATTTGGGATAAAATGATACTGCTGTTATATATTTTATAAAATAAATAAATAACGACCAAGAATGAAAGTTGAATGACTTGGATATTCCTAGCCCATTTGATATTATTGAAAATGAAATAAGTGCCTTTAGGCCATGACAGATATGCATGAAGTCCATTTATATAGAGACAAAGGAAATAAGCCTTTACAATTACAAATACCATCAAAATTGACTTTCTTGTTCTACTTAATTCCAACATGAACAACCCTGCAGATAAAAGGGACCAGTGTCAGAAGATGAGAAAATTTACAAGCTGTGAAGCCTCTTCCTTTTCAAGGAGAAAATTATGCAGCAACAAAAGTGAAGTCTCTTCCACACTGAAGCTTTACGACGACCAGTGGATGATTAAGAAGACACTTACTTATAGTGATCTTGGAATGTCGAGCAGACTCTTGTTAGGTTCATATTCGGACATAAAATAGATTTTGACTATATTGGATGTTGATCATGCAAGAGCCGCAGAAACTGAGAAAGGAACACTAGTTAGAGTTTGGGACATAAACACCAAATCCATGCACCAACTCTTTCTAAAGCTGTAGTCTTCATCTAAGAGCTATTTTCTCATGAGATATTTCTCATCGAAAAGTGGAAACAAGATTTTGTAAGAAGAAGAAAGCTCAACAAAGGGGATGATATTGGATTCCAATGGGATCCATATAAGCATTTTCAATTTCTATGTTCTTAAACGGGTTATGCCAGTAACTCAATCAAAGTGTTAAAACACGAAGTCCTATATATGCTATAGCTTATTAATTTGGTATCACTACACAAAAATGTGTTATTTATGGAGGTTATTTATAGGAGGTCGTTAGAACCTCCAAAAAAATACATAGATTGTGACATTTCTAGGGAACGTGATATTATGTTTGTGTGATTGTAACGGGAATGAGTGTATCTCAATAACCAATCCATATAGCAGTGTCCTTATTTTAATTCCTTATTTGTAGTAGTGTTTTCTGTTGTAACAACCCTCATAGGTATAAGTAGCTGTGTGGCTGTTAAGAAAAGATATCAGAAAAATGTTGGAAATCCTCATCTCTCTCGTGACTCTTTCTCCTTCATTTCTTTCTTCTCCTCCTCTTACCCTTTATGCATTTTCTTCTTCTTCTGTAGCATCCGCTACAATGGTGTTTCAGATATGCTCAACAGAATCCTGTGTCCATTGCCTCCACAAGATACCAGTTTGATTCCAAAGATAGCATATTTAACTACCAAAGCTTGTGATATTTCAGCTACTAGACTTAGAGAGGAGAAAACAATTAAATTTCATACTGGTAATGCTTCTGTTATTTATGTGGACCATGAACTTGGTGTTGATTTTGTGTTTCTTGCAAAAACATGTGCAATTATTGGACAACATTTGTGCATGTTATTCTCTGGTATTGTTGGGTTCAAGTTAACTAACAAGTGCTGCAGTAGGGTGTCAACAACTGACTTGGTTTTAACTATGACCCAAGTGATTAGGAAACATGGTGTTCTTGGAAAATTTGTTGAATTTTATGGTAATGGTAAGGGTAAATTTTACGATGTGCACCGTAATTACTTGCAAAATTTTCAGGGGTGTTAATCTCTAGGCGTACAATTGGTGTAACACCCCATCTACAGCCGGTTAGTTAACATACATATGGTACAATAACTCGTCTTAAATTATGAATTAAGCGGAAGACTTAATACAAGTATTACCTTTAATTATTGTAAAAAGGCGGATAAATTTTTTCTTTCATCTTAATACTACTATGATTACGTTACTTTAAAAAATTAACGCATTTACTATCATTCTTCGCATTGCCACGTACAAAACCTAATTCCAATTGTGATAATATGTATAGTCTCATACCTGTACAAACTTCTTGAACAATCTACTTATGTCCGTTCTATTCATTTTTGTACTTAACAAATATATTCCATTCAAACATGATCATAGAGACCATTTTGAACAGAAACCTACGGACAGAATAACGACTGTAATTTGGATAAAATCTGAATTCCTATAATACAGGAAAATCTAGAAAAAACATAAATAAATATTATCTGACTTATAATTCATCCATGAATTCACACATAATATGGCTCAGTGCCAGTCCTGAACACAATTAAACCTACGAATCTTAAATTTACAGCAGATAACACACAAATCTGAAATACCTTGTACACTGAATAATGGCTTAATGCCAATACACAAATACATACTGAAATTTATAACTTCAAAAATAATCAAAACAAAGGCTAAACATGTCTTTCAAAATGATAACAGCTATCAACATGCATGATACTACACATGCCTCAAAATAAGTATATACAATATATACACAAGACTCAAAATACATAATCCAGCTCCAACACTTGCCACTCTATACAGTCTTCTTGCCCTGAGATGACTGATCAACAACTGTAAGAATACCTGAAATATATCCCCACAACACATGGTGAGAAATAAATCTCGTAAACTCAGGGTTTATGGAGAAGTCTCCACCCACGAGTTCACTTCCTGCATGAAAGGTCA